CTGTTTCAAAACTTACTTCAGCAGCATGTCGCATATCTGACAATAGCTGGGCAATGATATCGTCGTTGTCGTTGATGATATCTATATCCTTCCGTTTTCGTCGTTTAGATTGCTCCTCCTTCTTCCGTTGGAGCATCACGTCAAAATCGGACATTCCTTCGCTACTTTGGCTAGATAGATTAGATAAACGCACATTTAATCTAATGGGAGCTTCTAAAAAATGCAATGTCCTCTTACGTGCATGGATTGAGTCCGTCATCCGAATCATAATCATCATCGGCTTGCGTTTGACCCGCTGGTGCATCAACATTAACATTTTCTTGTGGCTCTGGTTCCTGAGACGGTCCGGCCTCGTTCTCCTCATTATCGCTGTCCAGTACTTTGCTAACCTTGGACTTGTGCGCTCTTTCCTCATCTTCTGAATCCGAATCCAACAATCTTTTCATTTGGCTGCTCGGGCCTGCTTCATCTCCTGATCCTGACTTTGATCTGGACCTGATGTGAGCGAAACGAGGGATTGGATGCAAATTTACTTAAACCGCACTCATAGTTACCGAGATTTGCGAGAAACTGAGCGTGACCTAGATTTCCTGGATCCAGAGCGTGACCGAGACTTCCCAGATCCTGCACGAGATGCGGCAGAAGCCGATCTGGATCTTGATCGCGATTTGGATTTTGCCGACCCAGACCGAGATCTTCTTGATCCTGACCTGTTTAGAGAAATGAAATCAGTAAGGTTTTACTCATGAGTAGCGCGAAATCAACAGCACCTTGAGCGGCGAGATCCCGATCGTGATCTCGAGCGTCTAGACCCTGATCTTGACCTCGATCTGCCTGATCCCGATCTAGACCTGGACCTGCTCCTGGCCGAACCGCTTCTCGATCTAGATTTTCTGCTCGACGTGCTTCCGGCTGAACGGCTTCGTGATCTGGATTTACTACTGTGCGATCTGGACTTTGATCTCCTACTCCGGCTACTAGCTGCGCTCTTTGCTGAGCCGCTGCGCGACCGAGACCGGCTTTTCGACTTCCTGCTACCGTTGCTGGCCACACTCTTGCTTCTGGATCTGGACTTCCCGCTTCTATTGCTTGCGCCACTCTTGGCCGATCCGCTGCGCGACCTCGATCTGGACCTGGACTTGCTCTTGGACCTTCTGCTACGCTTGCTGGCTGCGCTGTTTGCCGATCCGCTACGGGAGCGCGATTTCGACTTTCTGCTGCCAGCGGATCTGCTCCTCGATCTAGATCGGCTGTTAGAAGCAGCGCTGCGAGATCGGGACCGGTTGCTGGCTGCGCTACGCGCTGAGCCGCTTCTGGATCTTGAGCGATTGCTAGCAGCTGATCTGCTGCGTGATCGGGATTGGCGAGGCGACGAAGTTCCATTTTGGTTGGTTTTTGGGGACACGGATCGGCTTTTTGAAGAGCGATTGGAGGCGATTGAGGCCGATCGTGATCTGGCAGGAGACTTGGGCGATTTGGACATGTTCAAGTCTGACTCCTCTGTTGGATTTTTTTTCAGTAAAATAAAAAGAAGTAGATGGTTAAGCTGGCTCAGGAATCAGGTTAGGGGGTTGGTAAAGGCATTTGCCTGCCTTTACAGAGTAAGAAAGCCTTGAAATCTCGTGATAAGACCAGTAATAACATGCACCGATTCCTTCTATGGACTAATAATATGAAATGGAACTTTCATGGTTACTGGTAAGCTTAGCATGGCATGGGATTGTGGTATGAACAGCGCTTTTGCAACTGTTGATGTGTTTAAAGAAAAAAATTAATGAAAAAACTAACCTGTTTCAACTTCCATGGTTGATTCGAGAGTATTGCACACGGGTTAAATACGCGAAAGAGCACTTGTTCTCTATAAAGAACTAAGCTGGAAAGCGACTATATCAGCTTGTAGGCCTTTACAGCTGAAATGCATTTATTTTTTTAGATTGGATATAACCAACAAATAAAGACAGACAAGTAACTGGAAATGACACTCACGTCTAGCGGTAGCCCAGGGCGTTTATTTGCATGCGTTTGCAGGAGCTCTCCCGGAAAGTGTTTGTATTGCCGGTTGCCTAACATCGGTGACAAGCAAATTCGATATTCATAAGCGATATTATTCAATTTCTATATCACAGATTAGCAAACTCTTGATTCAGTCAGTTCTGTATTTGCGAGTGATAGCAAGATTTTCACACATGTGAATTTTCAATCGCCTGGTCTAGACCAGATGCCTAATTTGCTCTCACCGATTTTAGGCACTCGGCAATACAAAAATTCCCCGGGGTGCCAGACACGGAGGTCAGAGCTGTCAGGATCTTCGCATGCGAACATATCTGCGTTACCTCTAGAAGCCTGATATGACTTTGACAGTAGAGGTCGCGGTGGGCCACTGGAGGGCGCCACTTTTCCCACGGCAAGGCGCTGGATTTTTTAATTTAATTTATTAAAAACAATATCATCAATTTAACTCATATTCTACTTTAATTTCGTTGGTAGTAGTAGCAGAACCATGCAAAGCGACACTCAAATGGGTTTCAAGCAGAAAATCTTTGGTTTAGAACAAATTCCTGCAAGATCTGAGCTTTGGCAGTCTTTTTCAGCTTCTTCTTTAAGTTATGCTAGATATGCGGATAAGTAGCACTGCAATGTTGCAGATCTTCTTTGCCCAGAGAGAAAGAGAGCGAGAAAGAGAGAGAGAGAGGGAAGACTAATTACGGAATTTGCACTTGACCCGGAGTATTTTTTATTATTTATTCCAACGCAAGTTTGAAGCATTATATATGGACTGTAACTGTACTGTAAGTTGTACCGAGTGGACTAAAAGTTAGAAGCTGAAAAAAGAGTTTGATACTCGGCCATCCACGGTACAATAGTTTAATTGTATCACATAATGCAGCGTGTATGCTAAGTGAAAAAGGTATAAGAATATTTAAAAAAATTACCGATCGGTTGGACGAGTTTCTAGCTTTGTAACTGGAAAGCGCGATTAGTTGGAAACATTTAAAACTCCAGATTGCGTGCGAGACGTCCAGAGCGAATTCAGACAACGGCTATGCAGTGGTGGTGGCGCATCTCCTGAATTAATGCCTCCTCGTGCCATCCAAACGTTGCGCTATGCGGAAGAAACCCATTTAGAGCTCCAAAACAAAGCTCTAACTTGTCGGTTCCTTTGCTTCGAATTTTGGCTCTCAATGTTTCCCTGACTGCATAAATCACGTTGGTTTGTTTATTGATCCAGCACTCGTCGAGTGCCAGAAAAATACATCTTTGCCTTGAAGACATTCAGCTATTATTATTAGCGGCCATCAAGCAAGCATACAACATTCAAATGTTGCTCAGTTCATCAAAGAAATCGAAATTGTGGTTGGTTGTTAAGCCGAATGGTGCTTGCTTTTTTATGAGTTCCGGACAAGCATCTTTTCACCGCATTCGTCCACAAATCGGCATCAATTCGAAGATGCAAATAAAGTAAAAGCCGGCATTCAACCAGTCACGAACTCGACTGGATTCAAAGGTTACGGTTTCACCAATAACAATTTGCCTCTAACACTTCTAACAAGCCCTCAACTATTCTAGCTATCGATTCGCGTTTGTCCGATGCATTTTTGCTATTTCCGGCATATTTTATTAAGCTTTACTGGCGCAACGCGGGACTGATTAAAGTGCGAACTGCATTGCATTTACTCAGTAAAACTTCAGACGAATATCCAAAGTAGTCCAGAGGGGTACGATCTGGAGAAAGTATGGGTATATTTTTGCTATACTCCCCATATTTTATTTGTGCAGTGGGGACCAAGGGCGGGTCCAGGGAGGGGGGGTCATGGGGATCATAACCCCCCCCCCTCATTCAATTCTCTATCCAACGATGTCAAAACGAATTTTCTGGCTCGAATGGTTCTTGAGAAACTTCGAAAAAAGCAGCGTCATGTTCAATTCAATGTCGGATTTTGCAACTTAAAGAAAACCACGCAAATCTAAAACTTATTGAGTTCAAGCATTTTTTGAGTAAACTGCGAACATTTGCATATCGATGATTCACTTTCTAAAAAGGCCATTTACTTCTGTCTAGAATGATGTACAAATGAGCGTTCTTGCTCATTTTGCCTCCGAAAAATGAGCAAAAACCGCACGCTGAAAGGATTTAGTCAATTAAAAATTTGCCGAAAGAAAGCCGAAGAGGTCAGATCAGGAATATCTGCTGGCCATTTTAGCGCCTCATTAAATCAAGACATACTTATCAAAATAAATCAAAAGGACAATCTTTGAAATTTGCTGCTCCGCTCTAGACCAAGCTGAAAGGGCCCGCATGCATTTTCAAGGTAAAAAACTACCGTTGAAATCCCGAGTTTTCCCCCCACTTCGTAACCGGCCGTCTTAAACTCCCCAATTAATTCGCCCAAATGATTTATGCAGTCATTGTTTACCCTCCTTCCAGAAACATGAATAGATGTCACTTGAAGTTGTTATTTTGTTTAAATCTGGATGGTTCCAGGGGCGGATCGGCCGCCCCGACGCCGCATAAGTCGACGCAGCCGCCCTCGAGTGCCGCCACCGAGCGTCGCAGCCGCCTTTGGCCGCTTATTCAGTCGCATCGCCAACATCGCGTCTGTTGCAGCTCGGCGTCGCGACGTCAACATTTGGACACCTGTTGGCGGGTACGAAACTGCAATATGCGCGAAAGAGACGACGCTCGTGAGGCGGCACGCGAGTGCGACAAGCATGACGAGTGCCGTTACCGACGTCGTCGGTAGAGGGGAAGCCGTTTTTTTTTCGGAAAAATTTCGGATTTTTCGATGTGGGCCACATCGACTTTTTCGGGGCTGCATGGTCACTTGGAGGGCTAGAATGAACAATGATTGTGAATGAATGTTGTGGCGCCTACCACTATTTGTGCTTCTCCTAAATGTGCGGCGAGCAAAGGCGTAACGGTTGCCGATCAGTGCGCGAACTCCCTCAATAAACAATGAATACCCGCACTAAACTATTGAAGCCCCGATCAACCCCATGGACATTTTCACGATCTTTCCATAAGGCTGAGGATTAGTGAGAGTCTTTGCGCTAGAAACGGTCGCAATAAAGTTTTAGATCTAGTTGATTTTGCTCAAACCACTAAACTGCATTAACGAGTATTATAGTCGCGAAAAATCGATTCGTCTATAGCGGACTTATACGCTTCTAGGAAATTCATACAATAATTCCAGAATTCTTCCATTTTTTATGCCGTAGCTTTTCGTAGGAATTCCCCTGCCGGGCGAACGATCTGCAATGCATTTTCCTCATTTATTAGCGCGTCTAACTGTTCACTGGCTAGTTCCGGGCTTCTGAAGCCGATTTTTGGGGACTCTTGCAAGTGCTTGGTAATGATCTGCAACCATGACGATGTGGCAGAGTGGGATGGGGAGCCACGGCGGAAAAAACAACGCGTGGCTCAAACTAATGGGAATAATGCACAAGGATCGCAGACACCACGACATCGGACCTGCAAGCACCGATCGAACAATCAGCCAGTGAGTTTCCATTTCATTTTTTTCCATTTCCCTTCGTCAGCTCAATGGGTCGAAAGCCTTCGTTAACTCATTCATCTTTTCACGCGGTGAAGAACCGACGTTAAGAGGTGATTGCATAACGCGGCTTTTCGTCTGGCGGCAATGAATAAGGCACAACTTGAGGCAGATTTGTTTTAAACTTTCTCTCAGTGCATCACTGTTTAAGGGGTAAATTTACTTGTTCGCGTTAAAAGTTCATCGCCGTTGAGACGTCCGGCAACGTTGGGCCTCAGCGATTGAGACTCAGAATTTGATGGATTTCTGAAAAAATTGCCGTGAAAATCTCGGCAACGTTCACGTTCCATTCTGTCTGGGTACCCTGTGTTGTCCTCTCATCCCTTCACTGAGCAATTAAGACTTTGAGGTTTTGACCCTTTCACGCAGGGGCGCATCCAGCGGTCTTCTGTTATCCATGAAATTAGAAAAGTGATCGGCGTTTTGTGCAAGGGTGGCGCAAGATTATTGCAAAATTGCATGTTTTCCGTCCCGTTTTGCATGTTTCTCGGAAGCAAAATGAGCAAGAACGCTC